CTGGACACCCCACCTCTAGGCTCGAATGAAGCGCAGTCGCTTGGAGACCCCAGGGAGAACAGGGTAGAGCCCCATCTCCACACAGCACGAGGAGCCTTGCAGGAGATCTCTGGCACTTTGTAGCCCTTTCTAAAACCCTTCTTGTCCCCATTCCAGCTAGGGATATCGGTGAACTGAACAGTCAATTTACCTCATGAATTCTGATCAGTTACTCGACTAGTCTATAGTCCCCGGGGGCAGGGCCGGCAGCCAGTGCACTCTGGCCCCACTCCCAAGGAGCCCCCTGCCACTTCACACTCCTGCCTCTGTATCCGAGCAGCACGGGGTGCCAGGTGGGAGCTGTTCTGCGACGGCAGACAGTTTAAAAACCAGCTCCCCTCGTGAACCAGCTGCCTGTCGCCCTGCGCTGCTGCCTCTGATACAGAGGCAGCTGCGTGGGGTGGCAGCAGCCTCTGTCTGGTGCAGGGGGGCATGTGTGAGCTCTTGGACCCTCCTAATACACTTTAAATACAGAGCCACAGCAGGGGTAGGTCCAGGACCCAGTGCGAGCCGAGACTGAGCTGGCTTGCTGGCCAGCCTGCTAAAAAACTTACTGGTAAGGGGTGCGGGAGAAATGCCTGTAGTCTGTAGCATTAACTTAGAAGCTTTTGCTTACCAGTTAATCAACAACACGGGTTCATCCCTAACTCCAGATGTTGGAGCTCCTGGGGCGGAGTCCTGACAAGCTTCTTCCAAGCATGAGACCCCGAGCTGGGAAAGAGAATACAGCGTGAGCAGAATGCTACCTCTACCGAGAGCAACCTCCTCCGACAATAACCACCCGGGTCAATACGGGTCAGAGGCCCGGGAGCCTGGTGGGCTGTGCGCTTCCCCTTTGCTTTCAGGCCACGCTCTTGTGCTCCTTGGCTGTCAATGTGTAGATGACGACGATATGCCCTGGATTTATCGGTTAATCCTGTGGACTACATGCGCTCTTCCCCTCCCTCCCCGCCTCAGTATCAGAGGCAGCAAGGGGAGGGTGGGAGGCAGGAGCTGGTGCCCTTGAGAAGCTGGCTTTTAAGCTGGCTCCCCACAAGCACCAGGTCCCATGGAGCCACCTGTCCCCATCCATGCTGCTGCCTCTGATACAGAGGCAGCAATGTGGAAGGTGGAGGGGGCGGGCAGGAGCTGGCACATGTGGGAAGCCAACTCCCTGTGCATTTCTGCTTCTGTGGACCCTCTGCCCCTCGTGTTGCTGCTTCTGCCAGAGAAGCAGCAGCGCGGGGTGGCAGGGAGCTCGCCAGGAGAGGGGCTAGGAGCATGCTGGCTGCCAGCCCCACCCCCGGGCACTGTCGAATAGTCGTGTAACTGCTAAGATTCGATGTGGTTACATGACTGTTCCGTTAATACCAGGGCTGCTAGATTGCGTGTAACCCTGCACCGCCTGCAGTCCCAGCAGTTCGGGTGCACAGACTCTCCCCCCCCTCACCCCCCGTCTGTCAGCTGGTCCCAGGGGAAGGAGACGTCTTTTCAGTCCTGATCATCAACACCTCGCACCTCGGTGAAAAGGTTGTGAAAGTGCCGCTGACGCAGTTCCCTGCTGAGTCCTCTCGCCTTCGCACCCGCGTCACAGCGCAGCGGGTGACAAATACTCGCCTGATGCCAGTGCCGGGGAAAGGGTCCGGGGCGAGGGCTCCTGCGGTAGCTGTGGGTTGTGGTGTTGGGCCCGCATGAAGAGTGCGGGGGAGCTGGTTGGCAGAGGAGGAATTGCCCCTCTGGGATGGAGACCAGCTCTTGGCTTGTAATAGCCACACGGGAGACCAGGTACCACCAGCAGGTGTCGGCACGAGGCACAGCTGCATTCTGACTGTAGCTCCCCCTCCCCCCCCAGGACAAACTACCCCAGTGAGAAGGGGACAGTCACCAAAGCGGCCCCATGAAAGGAGACCCATGCAGTCAGATGAACTTTCATGGAAGTAATCAGCTTCTCTGTCTTGCTGTGGGGTAGCCACACGGCATGTTGGGCACCACAGCCAGCCACACGCAAGCGGAAAAACCTGCCTGGAAGGGTGTCGTTATTAGAAGGGTGTGCTGAGCCGAGGGAGAAGTGGGGTGAGCTTGGCTCCCCACCTCTGCACTGATTTGGGGTCACTAACAACACAGCCAGGAGCCACAACTCAACAACTCCTCTCGGCCGTTGTGAGTTACTCCCTGCACCACCGTGAGAGCGAGAGGTGTATCCGGCACCCTGCTGGCCCCTGGCCCTCTGTGCCTAGTCCTGTGACTGTGCCTGCAGAGAGAGCCCTGAAAACCTGAAGAGGCAAAGATGCTGGGTCAGCTGCCGGCTCAGCAACCCCTGTGGCCTGCTCCGTTCACAAACGCAGCCACAGATCAATGGTGAGGCAGGGTGACGGAGTGGGGGTGCTGTCTGCTTTTGTGAGCCTCTGCT